GGCACGGCCGCCTCCTCCTCCGTGGCCATCACCACCTCCGCGTCGCACGACACGCACGTGGCGTCGCGCAGCAGCTTGCGCTTGGTGCCGGCCGCCTCCGCCTGCTTGCGCACCTTCGCCAGGTTCTTGAGGCGCTCGTGCAGCGTGCGCAGCTTCTTGTTGACGAACTCCTTGAGCGGCGCCAGCTCCTGGCTGTCCAGCTTGCTGCCGATCTCCGTCTGCATCTCCTCCAGCGCCTGCTGCCACAGCTGCTCCTGCTGCGCCAGCTTCGACACGGCCTCCTGCAGGCCGCGCGCCAGCTCCTCCAGCGCCGTGTCCAGCTGCTCGTGCGACACCTGCAACGCACCACATTCCACAAAGTGAATAAACACTCTCAAAATACGATAGTAACACACGTGCCATTTAAACAGTTTTCGGGCGATTCTAATGGCGTAATGATAGCGCGGGCGCCTTCCACTGCTGATATTTGCGTTCGAACACCAGACAATCCTGGAGGAATTTGTGATGAGAAATGCGAGTTCTCCGGAGGTTGCGGCAGTCGAGGGCCTCCATGCATCTCATACCTCGATTTCTCCATCATCGTCCACCTTATCATCATTATTAACTACAGCTTTCATTTACGTATTACATCATTACTAATGAGCCTCAGTATCCTTAGAGTTAATAAATAAAATACTAAAGTAAACAGTTTTCATTCACCCGAAGCAAATATTTTACACGAGGTATTTTAAGGCCTCTATGTATCCTCTTGAAGCACCACTATATGAATAAAAAATGTGAGAGTTCTCAGAAGATTATCTCGAGGATCAGTGTCTTTCATTCCATCATTTCTCCATCATTCACCTCATCATCGTCATTAGCTATCCCTACTATCTACTTATTAGATCATGACTACTGAGCCTTAGCATCCTTAGAAGTTTATTTGTGTTCAAGAACCGGTGCCCGGCTCCTGAACACAAATAAATAAATATAATATTTTTTTCGTTCACTCAAGACAAATATTACATGTTAAATAATTTAACATCTTGGATGTTCTCTTCAAGCATCACCTTTCTACACGTCATAACTAAATGTATGCGATGAAATATTTCGCAACTGGCGTGGAATAGTCTTGTATAAATGAACATAAAATATCACCTTCCGGTTGACGGCGAGCTGGTCAGCCTTGGCCTGCAGCGCCTCGTCCACCTCCTCGCGGTCGGCCTTGGCGGTGCGCAGCGCGTCCAGCTGCGCGGCCAGCTGCACCAGCTGCTGCGAGCGGCGGTCGCGGTCCTCCATGAGCTTGGAGCACGCGTTGGAGATGGCCTCCACGTCGCACTGCATCAGGTGGATCTTGTTGAAGAGCTCGGTGAGGCCGGCCAGCTCGCCCTGGGTGTCGCCGCCGGCGCCGCCGCCGCCGCCGCCGCTGCCGCCGCGCCCGACCGCCGCCGACGTGGCGCGCTCCGCCAGCAGCCCCAGCTCGCGCTCCGTGTCGTCCGCCTGCTCCTGCAGCGTGCGCACGTGGTCGCGCACCTCGTCCACGCGCGCCTCCAGCACGCGCACGCGCGCCGAGTCGGCCAGCTGCAGCTGCAGCTCGTCGGGCGGCGCGCCGCCGGCGGCCCACAGCTCCCACGCCGCCACGCCCCCCGCCAGCACCTGCGGCACGGAGCGCGGCGCTTTCACAAGATACATCTTTTATAAAAACATCAGTACAATACAGTAAAACCTGTCTAAGGCGGAAACCTGTCTTCGCCGGAAAAATCTCAGAACGGACAATTTCCAATGCAGAATACATTGGATAAGCCGCGGAAACGGAAAGAAATTTTTAGTACGACGGTATAAAAATCTGGATAAGACGGAAGACATTGTTTTAAAATTAAACATTGACCTGTATGTGTAGTTACATTTCACCATGAGACACTTAGAGCTGTGCGCATCCATTCCCTATGTCAGCTTCCCTCTTTCGAACATAATATTTCTCTCTCTTCTCGTACCAAAACCACTGTTT